CCAGCAAACACATTCAAGTTTGCTGTGACACCATGTGCAGCGCTCAATGATAGCACCAAGCGTTGGTTCTCATTAAGAAAGAGGTCCTGGAATGCCTCTGACACAGGTACCCTATTAAAACGACGCTCAGATAATGTTCCATCTTCAGTTTCAGAACAAACGTTACCAGCCGCCTCCTACCCATTATCAATCAAAGAATCAGATGCTGTTCCATTTTCATTTTCAGAACGGACTTCGCCAGACGCCTCCTGCCCATTATCAGTCGAAGAATCAGATGCTGTTCCATTTTCAGTTTCAGAACGGACTTCGCCAGACGCCTCCTGTCCACTTTCAGTTGGAGAATCAGATGCTTTTCCATCTACAGTTTCAGAACGGACTTCGCCAGACGCCTCCTATCCACTTTCAGTTGGAGAATCAGATGCTTTTCCATCTACAGTTTCAGAACGGACTTCGCCAGACGCCTCCTATCCACTTTCAGTTGGAGAATCAGATGCTGTTCCATCTTCAGTTTCAGAACGGACTGCAATTTCTTCTTCTCTAATACCTGATATCAATCCTACACTTTCACAACCCGTGACTTTGTGTATGACTTTGGTGTCCCGGCGCCTTTTTATCATGAAGTACGATGCAATTGATAAAGAGAGAGTAATAATGAAAAACACAGCCAAACTGAGGCTTCTGTTTATCATTGCAGTTTTCGAGCTGGTCTTTACCAACAGCTAGAGCCGTTCAATGTTTTACTTATTACAGAAGTACCTCTTCCTCATGTTCAATCTGAGAATGTCCCATTTATGTTCTAGCATGGGGCACGAGTTCAATTCTGGCCTCGCCGATTGGAATATACCCAACCACGTTTTTCTTAGCCGGAGAATGTCTTATAGGTCCTTTATTAGGAGTTCCTAATTTTTCACCTCATTCTACGCAAAATAGAGAGAGGTAATGCAAAAAACAGTAATTGCAGCTATAATACCTAGAAAAAACATATTCTAATTTACTGAATATTTTTGTTTTTATTTTTATTAACTAGATACCAGCGAAATATGATTAATTACACACACACACACACACACACACACACACATATATATATATATATATATATATATATATATACTCTGACTGGACTACAAGGTAGCAGTCACGAGGCATAATCGTATCTACGTAGGACGAACCCATTATTTACAAATCCGTGTGTGCGCTCATATATGTGTACACGTATGCATGTGTGCGTATGAATGCACACACGCGCGGACCTTGTAGTTCAATGTAGTCATAGGCTATGGGAGCTCACCCTATACAAAACAAATGCTGCCTTGTAGTTCAGTCAGAGGATATATAAAACATTTGCTGCCTTGTAGCATCTACCTCTACGGGAGTGGGCAGAGACAATAATGCTTTAGTCGCCTTCGATATTATTGTGCGCGAGTGTGTGAAAGTACTGTACAAATATGTGTGTGTGTGTGTGAAGGTATTGTACGAATCTATGTGCGTGTGTATGTACGCGAGTGTGTATGTGTGTTTATATGTGAGCATGTGTGTGTGTGTGTCTGTGGAGGTACTGTATGAATCTGTGTGCGCGTGTATGTATGCGAGTGTGTGTATGTGTGTGTTTACATGTGAGCATGTGTGTGCGCGCGCGCGCGCGTGTGTGTGTGTGTGTATACACATGTTCGCGCGTGTTAATGCACTGTATAAATCTGTAAACTTGTGTGTGTGTGCGTGCGTGTGTGTGGATGTCTGTGTGTGTGTGTGTGCGTGTGTGTCTGTGTGTATGTGTGCGTGTCCGTGTATATATGTGGGCGCGCGCGCGCGCGTGTGTGTGTGTGTGTATACACATGTTCGCGCGTGTTAATGCACTGTATAAATCTGTAAACTTGTGTGTGTGTGCGTGCGTGTGTGTGGATGTCTGTGTGTGTGTGTGTGCGTGTGTGTCTGTGTGTATGTGTGCGTGTCCGTGTATATATGTGCACGTATGCGTGTTTGTGTGTATGGATGTGTGTGCGTATATATATATATATATGCGTGTGTGTGTTCGTGTGTGTGAAGGCGTACAGATCTGTGCGCGCGCACGCGCGTGTGTATGTGTGTGTGCGTGTTTGTGAAGGTAGTGTACGAATCTTTGTGCGCGTGTATGTATGCAAGTGTGTGTATATGTGTTTGTATGTGCGCGTGTGTGAAGGCACTGCAAAAATCTGTGCATGTGTGTGTGTGTGTGTACGTGTCTGTGTATATATGTGCACGTAAGCATGTGTGTGTATATATGTATGTGTGTGTAGATATGTATGGATGTGTGTGCGTGTGTGTATATATATGTGTGTGTGTGTGAAAGCGTATAGATCTGTGCGGGCGCACGCGCATGTGTATGTGTGTGTGTGTGTGTGTGTGTGTTTGTGAAGGTAGTGCGCGTGTATGTATGCGAGTGTGTATATATGTGTATTTACATGTGAGCGTGTGTGTGTGTGTGTGTGTGTGTGTGTGTGTGTGTGTGTGTGTGTGTGTCTGTGTGTACATATGTGAGCGTGTTTATACAAATGTGTGTGTTTGTGTGTGTGTGTGTGTTTGTGAAGGTACTATACGAATCTGTGTCCGCGTGTATGTGAGTGTGTGCGTATGAGTGTTTACATGTGAGCGTGTGTGTGTGTATATATATATATGTGAGCGTGTGTGTGTATGTGTATGTATATGTGTATATATATAGAGATAGATAGATAGATAGATTTGTTCGGTAGTATCATCCTTACCTGACTGGATACCCCTCCTAATCAAGCGCGCTACCACTTATGCCACTGCGGCGAGTCCAGTGCTCTAACCACTGAACCATCACGGCAGTTATATATATATATATATATATATATATATATATATATATATATATATATATGACTGCCGCGATAGCTCAATGCCCTGTCGCGGCGGTCGTAAAAATGCCTGCGCTCTGACTGCTTGCTCGAACCCGAGAAAACGACATATCGCATAAGTGTTAACGCGCCGAACCGCGGTTGACTAGGAAGGGCATTCAATCAGGCAAGGGTAACACTGCCATATAACCATATAACCTCTCAATGCTGAATTGAGAGAGGCCTATGCCCTGCAGTGGAATGAATGGTTGTTGAAAAAAAAAAAAATAGATAATAAAAAAAAAAAAAAATAAAAATATATATATATATATATATATATATATATATATATATATATATATATATATATATATCGACGGCCACCAGTCAATGTCGATTATGGCTTTCTCGTCTCTACTCACTCGTATAGGTCAATGCCTGGAAGAAAGAATGTGAGGAGCAAGCTGTTGATCATGTAGCATGCTCCCTCTCCGCGCAGGTGATTGATCAAAAGGCATAGACCGATACGGTCTTTCGCACAGTGTGTGTGTGTGTGTGTATACAATATACTGTATGCATACCACATGGCCGACCACGTGGCAGTTTCGTTAGCCGCGCCTGCATAGCCACGCCGCCATACTCCAGCTGGTGGCTCCGCCCCTGCTTACGGTGGTCGCCGCTACTTATTCTCCAAGGTTGACCCCTGTCAGTTAGAGTGTGCCTGCTGCTGGCTGACCCAAGGTCGGCGCCTGTCCAGCTCAGGTCAGGACTGACCGTCCCCTCCCTGCTGAGCGCGCGATGCCCAAGTGTCATCATTGTGTTCTCAACTCGTGTGCTAACTCTTATCAATAAAAGGTTTTAAGCCACCAAGCTTTTACTACTCCATGTCACCAATGTTTAGAGCCCCTTCTATAACTCAGTGTGTGTGTGTGTGTGTGTGTGTGTGTGTGTTTGTTTGTGTGTGCTTGTGCACGAATCCCTGTGTGTATTTGTGTGTGTGTATGTGCATGCATGTTTGTAAAAGTACTGTACGAATCAGTGTGTATGTGCATGTGTATATGTGTGCATGCATGTGTGTGTGCGTGTGTGTGTATATCTATATATATACAATATACATACATATATATATTGGGCTCATCAGCCCAAACAATCATATTTGGGATTTGTTTTTTTCTTTGCTCACAGTTCCATCTAACTAGAAATGCTACCCCTGCCGCTTGTTCAGGAGGACTAAACTACCCTGCTGCCAGCAGATACACGGTACCCTGGCACGGTGAGCTCATAGGGTACTATACTTTTTTTGTGGCCGGATGCCCTCTCTAACGTCCACCCTCTCTATTTACCGGGGCTTGGGATCAGACTTAAGCTGGTTTCCCAACGACTAGGTTATATATATGTGTGTGTGTCTCTGTGTGTGTGTGTGTGTGTGTGTGTACATGTGTGTGTGTGTATGTGTCTGTGTTTGTGTGTGTGTGTGTCTGTGTTTGTGTGTGTGTATATGCGTGTGTGTGGCTATGAGCTCTGTTCTTTAACGTTAAGAGTTGGACTAGCATTGCCAAAAAGGCCCTAACATAATCCCTAAATGTCCCTCTAATGATGCCTAGAAAAAAGCTTGTTATGCCCTACGTGGCATAACAAGAAGAAGGGATATTTAACACCGGAAACCGAAAGTGATTATCATAATCAATGACCCAAATCTGAATCATTAACAGGAAGAAGAAGAAGAATGGAGAATGTGGTGCCACTCCTCTCCAAAGCAATGATAATAATAATAAGAGGAAGAAGAAGAAGATGAAGAAGCACACGCGCATGTAGAGAGACATCATTATTAAGATGCGAAAAATTATTTTTTTGTTTAGTAATATTAAGCTTTAGTTCTTCTGTTCAGTCTGATATTGTGTGTACGTCTCTTTTCAGAAGAGTTTTTGCTAAAAAAAAAATGGATACCCCTTCCTGGTTGATTTTGTAAATTTTGCCTTGTTTTTATAGATTAATATTTACGACCTCTCTCGGTATTATCATTATTCTATGCTTTGCAACATTCAAAACATTCGACTTCTGCGCAACATGCTGGATCCACTCACACATACAATTCACACTCACACACACTTGCTATGCTGTGAGAGCGTTCGTACACTAGACAAAGATTAATCAAACGAGCCGTTCAGATCAACAGTTTATTCAAAACAAACTCCTCCTATCAAAAATTTACTGAAAACCGTCAAACAACTTCCCTACATTGATAATCTGTTAATAATCTAACACCATGAGTAACACAGTTCTGGACGAGGCAACACCTTAAGAATTCCCGTTTTATATCCTTGTATGGAAACCTTCTACAGTTTTGCTTTTCTCTTGAGGAAGGGAAAGGTGTTGTGTCCTGCAGGACGCGGCGTAAGTGGCGCAGAGTTAGAGAAGGTGATACATCGAGAAAACTAAGTTAAAAGTTGTTGAAATGATCGATGGGAAGGAAAAGGGGCAGATTCAAGAGACCAGTGATTCCCCCTTATAACTCTCCACAGAATGGCGGTAACACAGCTCTTCCTACTCAAATCTTCCTCCCATCTACCCGTAAATAATATAATGGCCATGCCCATGTCCATATCCGCCATGTCCATATCCGCCATGTCCATATCCACCATGGCCATATCCACCATGTCCATATCCACCATGGCCATATCCACCATGGCCATACCCGTGGCCGTATCCACCAATGCCGAGTCCGAAGCCATACCCGCCGTACCTCCTGTGCGCTTCCGCCTCGGCCTCAGGCAGCGGCCCGGCACTCACCGCCGCCAGCAACACCGCCGTCGTCAGCGCCAGCGTCAGGAGTAACCCGCGGTTCATCTAGGGAGGAATCGACACATCAGTTGTTTGTTATTGAAGTTGTTGATAATGTTGACAATCATAATAATCATGAAAGGAAAAATGATAATCGTTGCAAAAATTATGATAATACTAACAAATCATGGTAATAATACTATGACAATGATAGTAACAACAGTAATAATATCAGTAACAATGATAACAAAGATGATTTTGGTGATGATAATGATAATGATGATTATTATCACTATCACCATCATTATCATCATTCTCACCAACATTATTATCCTCCTCATCACAATCATCATCTTATTAATGATAATAATGATAATGATAATTTTAAAGATAATAATAATGATAATATAATGATGATGATGATAATAACAATAATGATAAGAATAATGATAGCAATGAGGATGATAATGATGATAATAATAATAATGATAATAATAATAATGATTATAATTTTATTGTTATTACTTTTTTACTATCATTATTGTTATCTATATCAATATTATCATTATTATCATTATTATTGTGGTGTTATTCTTTTTATTGTTATTATTATTACTATTATTATTATCATCATCATCATCATCATCATCATCATTATTATTATTATTATTATTATTGTTATTATTATTATTATTATTATTATTGTTATTATTATTATTATTATCATTATTATTATAACTGGGCCGTAAACACACACACACAAACAAACACACATACACACACACACACACACACACACACACACACACACACACACACATATATATATATATATATATATATATATATATATATATATATATATATATATATGTATATAGACATGTATGTATATATGTATGTGTATATATATATATATACATATATATACATTATATATATATATATATATATATATATATATATATATATATATATATATGTTTGTATATATATATATATATATATATATATATATATATATATATGTATATGTATATATGCATACACACACACATGTATGTGCGTGTATATTTGTATAAATACACACGTACACACACAAGCAAATAAAAAAAAAAAATACTCACCATTATGTGTAGGTCTTTTCTGTAGAAATGCCAAGTCGTGACTGCGTGCAAGGGTCAGCTGGCCCGTCTTTTATAGGGTCCCATTGCACTAATATTACGCAACAGGAAAAAGGTAGTTTAAGACATTTCTTTTTCTTATGATGTGTATATATAATAGATAGATAGATCAGCGGATTCTAAAATATCAGTGCTGATGTTTTTTTTGTGTGTATTTGTTGTCTTTTGTGATTGTTTATCTCTGTTTAAGTGTCTTCAATTCATTGTTTATTGGTAATTGGCATCTCATCTCCTGGCAGTGACCCCAACCCGTTCAGACTGCAGGGCGTGTGGGGTGGGGGATGGGGGGAGGGGGTTTGCTGTGTGCGTGTGAACGAGGGAAGTGTTGTGTGCTTGTGGAGTGTAGGGGGGGGGGGGGGATGCTATGCGTATGTGTGTGGCGTGGTGAGTGTGTGTGTGAGAATGTATGTATGTGTGTGTGAGAATATATGTATATGTGTGTATATCCCCACGCACTGATATCCCTCAGCTAACACGCATCCAGTTCCCTATTTTCTCCACTATTGAAAACCACCGACCCATTGCAAAATAACCCCTTGCCATCACGACTGCATAAGCTAGCAATTGTCACATCACATTACACCTCGTCTCTACATGCACTGCTAAACATCCTTATATTAAGATCTGTCTACACCATGTTAGTCCTTGCCCCAATATCTCTTGTGTAGTACGGTGCACACTTGTCGGTCGTGGAGATATTAATAAATGGTAAATACTGATAGATAGGCAGATATACAAGCCGACAGGTAGATGCAAATATGTCGATAACTGTAGATAGATAGGTTTATATGTTGGTATCTAAATATACTTACAAATAATACATACGAACAACCACATGTATGAACAGACTTGCTTGTATATATATGCATATATACGTCCGCTCATATATAGATATATGGAAATGTGTGTATAGATATGGTTATGCATATGTAAAAATACATAGACTCCCATTATACATGCATTTATTTCATTCGACATCAACCACGTCAACTTTTATTGACATGACTTTAAAGAAAGGAAGTGTCATATAAAAAAAGAAAAACAAATTGCTTCAAAGAGTGACCAGGAGGGTTCAAGCCAAGCGACAGGGTTCGGTTCCCGTT